AAGAAAATTAACTCTATCCCAGCCAAAACCAGGACAATGGGCCAACAACGTGAGCTTACAGTGCAGAAAGCCAACTGAATCCTGGGCTGCATCAAAAGCAGCGTGGCCAGCAGGTCGAGGGAGGTGATTCTGCCCCTCTGCTCTGCTCTGGTGAGACCCCACCTGGAGCCCTGCGTCCAGCTCTGGAGCCATCAGCACAAGAAGGACATGGAACTGCTGGAGCGGGTCCAGAGGAGGGCCCCAAAAATGATCTGAGGGCTGGACCACCTCTCCTACGAGGCCAGGCTGAGCGAGTTGGGGTTGTTCAGCCTGGAGAAGAGGAGGCTGCGAGGAGACCTTATTGCGGCCTTTCAGTACTTAAAGGGGGCCTACAGGAAAGATGGGGACAATCTTTTTAGCAAGGCCTGTTGTGACAGGACAAGGAGTTACGGTTTTAAACTAAAGCAGGATAGATTTAGACTGGATATAAGGAAGAAATTTTTTACAATGAGGGTGGTGAAGCACTGGAGCAGGTTGCCCAGAGCGGTAGTAGAGGCCCCATCCCTAGAAACATTCCAGGTCAGGTTGGACGGGGCTCTGAGCAACCTGATCTGGTTAAAGCTGTCCCTGCTCACTGCAGGGGGGTTGGGCTAGATGATCTCTACAGGTCCCTTCCAACCCAAAGCATTCTATGATTCTGTGTTAGGATTATTTAAATGTCAGTGATTTAAATGTATCTCAAAGCATATTGGTACTTGTTTTAGTTTTGTGGTTTCAGTTTGTTTTGTTGTTTGGGAAAAAAAAGTTCAACAGACAAAGCACAGTGTACCATTTACGTAGCTTTTAAGTTCACATTTTGATAAAACGTTTCGTATTTACCTTACTAGTTTACTAAAAGAATTCTGAGCTTCTGACAAATTCCATCAAAGCAAAGATTATATTAAAGGGCTTATCAAATAGTTAAAGTAGTAATTTTACATTGTCTTGTCAATTTTGCATGTCCATGTCTACAGGTTGACTTTCACGCACATTGTGTTGGCTTGCACTTTCTCCCCTTTCGAGTGTGAAGGAAGCTCTCGGTGTTCATCTGGGAAGCATTACTTTTGCCATTTAAACATTTCTGGATTGCCATGATATTTTTAGAATTTAGAGGCCAAGTATAAATATATTGGCTTCACGCTCATCATGTATTCAGCTTTTTTTAAAGACCACATAAGCTTCATTAATAAAAATAGTTGACAGGCTTGCTTTTAGAACCACCTCAGCTAGGAGACCTGCATCTGAACTGTGGATTATTGTGGGACTGTGCTGGGAGGACTTTGCACCGTTGCTGCTCTTTTGCCAGCGCATAAGGCCCACTTACACCAGATGCTGCAGGCATCTGCTGCACTTTTTTTTTGGTAACTGATAATTTTTGTGTCTCCTAGGAAATAGAAAACATAAAGGCAAATTAGAAAGTTCTGATTTGCTTTTGTTCAAATATATACGTATGTGAGAGCTATGTCTTCAGAAGAGTTCAAGAGTGGAAGGAACATTACAGTATTAAAGGAAAAAAGGCACGCTTGATTATTGTTAATAAAAATAATTTTAAAAAAATTTTAAAACCCAATCCTTCACCATCAGTGTGAGAAGATAGCGTTTTACATACTCTGCATGATACAGACCAGTTGTTGATGTCAGTAGAGGATAGGGTTGACTCTCCAGCATGACGTTTCTGGGAGGCATTTGCGTCCAGAGAAGGCACCTCATCAAAATCATCCTGAAGAGATGTGTCTTTTTTTGCAGATTTTGTTTTTCTCAGGTTTTTGTCTGAGGAGGAATATGATTGTAGGTAATGTTGGAATCAGCAACGCTGAATCAAATACACTGGTTTTCTAACCCAGTTTCTTTTCTCATCCACAGTCTGAATTACCAAGATACTTAGAAGTATGTGTCGAACCTTTCCCCATGCAGAACCTTTCCCCATCCCTCTTGTTTTTAGCTTAGTTGTGTAAATGCTTTTATTGGTGTCAGTGCTGGTTTACGCAGTTCCCAGCTCTGGCTGTTCCTTCCTGTGCTGCCCCTCCAGCTGGCTGGTGTAGCTGGTTGGGGGGCTCTGGATGAACTGTCAGGAAGCTTATCTGGGTGTCTTTTTTGGATAGAATCCTTTGTAACTTGGGTGAGTTGTTTGATCTGGTTCATGTGTAGTTTCACAACTGTAACTGAGCACTGGAAGGTACCAAAGTAGGAGTGAGGGAGAGAAGATGGGATCTACTTAAGCCATTACTTCTGCTGAAAGAATTGGACACGTAACTGTGCCTTGAAAAATTGAGGTCACAGATCTGGGCATCAGTCAGTGCTTGATCGTTTGATTAAGATTAAGGCATTAAGATACGGGATATTTTGGTTTTCTTATATGCATTAATTTGACATTGTAGTCCCAGAGTATGTGCAGAAAAGAAGATTTCATTTCATGGTAGGAATGTTGTGCTGATTAGATGGTACATTTTTGAAGACATATTGTTATTTTGTATTTTAGTTATCATTTCAATTAGTTTTCCAGCTACCAATGTAAGATCTAATGATCTAAAATGCTGTACCACAGCCCAAGAAACTTTTGTTCTCATCTTTGTTTGTTTGTAATGTGGGTACATCAGTTGCTGTCCTCCGGCCCTCTGAAAGCGTAGCTCCTGGGGAAAAGAATCACCTTTTTCTTCTATAAGGGAGATTGTTTGAAAGTAAAGACCAAAGATGTTTATCATACTTTTGGTTATCTGCATCTATGTGAAGATTAAATCTGGGAACATCTGCAGATAAATTATTTATAAAGTGATCTTTGACAGACTGACGATGTCTTTCTTTGCCCTGTGTTACTTGGAATATGCTCTGCATTGTCTGTTGAATTTGGTTTGGTTTAGACATATGTGAGAGTTTGCACTCGCTCGCTTGCTCTCTGTCTTTCTCTCTTTTACTTATGCATGATGGACAGTACTGATTTCTATTTATATTATTTTGTATTATAATGTAATATAACGTATATTACATTAGCAGGTATATTGACTATGTTGTCTATTACTTTCAGGCACATGGCCATGGAGGCTATGATTCTGATTTTAGTGATGAGGAGAATGGAGAGAAGCCTGTGCAAAAGACTAAGAGGTAATGTACAGAATTAACACTTTGCATTATGTATTTTGTGCAAATGGCCTAACTGTGTATGGAAGATTACGCTGTGCTATGTAAAGTCTGGTGTTGAAATGGTTTTTGAAAAATCGGTCTCTTTGATTCCTGCGTCTCCTCATGTCAGGCTTGCCTCATGTCATCTCCCAGGGGCAGCTGATGAAGATCCGTTCTGCCATGTCCATCTGGTGTCTATATGCCCCTCAGTTCTCGGAGCAGAGTGTTTAATTTTTCCAAATATTAGTATCAACTGCTGGGGTTTGGCTGTGGTGTTCACTTCACTGTGGTCCATCAGGACACGTGGAACTGTTAAGAGAACAAGGCAAAAAAGGCCAAGTGGCAGCAGGCTTTGTAGATATAAAACACCTGCTTGGAGGAAGTGAAGAATTGATGCTACTTCTTTATTATTTAATTTGCAAAGAGACCTGGGAATTGGTGAATTGTGTTGTACTCAATCCTTGAAATGTAACTGCACATCTCTTATTTGAGATCATCTTTGCCATTTCTTTCAGCAGTTCACACAGTTAAGTGACCTTGAATTTTGTAGTTTGATCCATTATATTATTAAGGTTTTTATTTATGTCTGTGTTTATTTTGCTTTGGCACCATAGTCCTTTGACACTTTCTGCACCACACTGAACATTTTGCCTATATAATGCATATATTTTTCTTACCTTTTCCTGTCTCTCCCTTGCTCTGTTGTTGGACTTTATTTAAGAAGGCTTTCTGGAAACTTTCTTAGGACTCTTGCATATTTTCCTTTGTAGTAAAATTGAAAGAATGGGTTTTGTAGTGTCTGACTGCATTCTGGGAAAAAAAATTCATGTTTTAATCATTGGAATAATAGCAGGCATTGTGCTGTTCCATTTATTTTATAAATGTAGCTGTTCTCCATTAAAACAGTGACTGATTTTGTTCAGTTTTTGTTTTCTTTAAAAGGCCATTACACATTATACCATTCCACTTTATAGGTGGAATATTAACTAACCATCAGGAGCCTTTCAAAAATATCATCATTACCCTTGTTCTGGCAGACTCCTGCTGATTCCCAGTAGGGCTTTTATGTGGGTTCACTGTATATGTATATATTCTTTTCTTGCTCTATGATGATATTTATTGTCACTTTAAGGAAAACAGTAGTCTTAAATTTTCTCCATATTGCTGTTTTATGGAGTCTCCTTACAGGAATTGTGTGCCTACAGGTCCTTTTGAGCAAATGATACCCTTAGTTTCTTGAGTTCTGTATTCCATAGCTTGAAGTATAAATTCCCTGGCTTGCTTTCTACAGGTTTCTGACTTCCATTCTTTCTGCCAGCTGATAATTATGGAAAAAATCTTTTCTTCACTTCTACTGAGGAATGAAACTAAATATACCTTTTACTAGCTAAAGTGTATCACTTAATATTGAACTTTGTATTACCTTGTTGAATTCTGCAAATATTTCTAGCTGCCCACTGACAGGTATGGTTCACAACACAGTACTTAAGTTTCAAATAAGTGATTCTTGTGATTACACTAAGAGAGGCAGAGCTGTTTAATGAGGTGTTGAGACGTTAGCATGAAAGGATGGCATAGGCAGTCACTCTTATTCAGTGAACCGACTGTCCTTCCTGCTCCTACTTGGCTGTGTAGCTGAGATTTATAGTGGGCTTTAAATGTAGAGTGAAGCTGAGGAATCTTCAGGATTTTTTCATTGTGGTTCTGTAATGATAATATTGATAAAAATAAATACTACAAATTGCTGGTTTAAGCTATTTTCTTTAAGTGCTAACTGTAAGCAAATGCCTTTCTGATTTTGTTCTGCAAATGAAGTAAAGTTTAAGCTGATGTTGGTTCTGAAGTTGGGTTTTGTTCATGTAGAAACTAGCAATATAACAGTTTTTGTTACTCAAGTTAGCGTGAAGTTTGGCTTATGGAAATTTTATTGCTTATGAAAAGTTCTTGACTAACTTTTCTTCCTTTTTCCTCCCTACCTTTAGTGTAAAGGAAGATGGCCTTCTGATAAAGCCATTCCAAAAAGCAAAACAAGGCAGTGTCGTTCACAGACAATTTGCAGCTGAAGAATGGGATAGGTATCTTTTATCTATTGCTTTTGTGAGGCATTTTTCCCTTAATGTAAAGAAAGCTTTCACTGAGACGTATTTGTTATTAACAGGGAAGAAGCAAGAAAAAGAAGATTTCACTTGATAGCAATGGATGCTGTATCCTTCATTTTTCTTCAAGTTTGAAGATGGGGCACAGGTGGTCCATTATGGTGAAATACTGGGATTTCTCCGTTATCACAGCACCAGATACTGAGTCGTTCTTCAAATTAGCTTCTTTTTGTTGCTGAGGTGTCTCTGAGGATGCCTTTACTCAGTAGAGGCTTTTCCAGATTCTTCCTATATGCTCCTTTGTTCTGTTTGGGACAAAATTACTATACAGTGAATTTTCTTTAGACTGGCACAAAGACACATTGCTCTTTCAGTTGAGTTTATACAGAACATAATTCTAGATAAGGCTGCTATTATCTGTGGACAAATACATTTCTACTGGAAATTTAAGAATGCATTAGTTAATTTAAAAGTCTATTCAAAACAGCCTTATCTCCAGTAATTTCTTCTACAGATGCTCTAATGTAAGCCTGTTTAATATCATGTGCAGTTTTATTTTAGGGTTTAATTTCAATCTCTTAATCATATTTCATGCATAATTTGTAACCATTTTTATAACTACTACCTTATTTACATTACAACCTTTCTCCTTTTATTTAGTTTTCACCTGGGGCAGTCATTACATGTTTTGACTGAGTGTATCTGAAATACCATCAGTTCCTTGTTTGTTTAAATAGCTGTTCTCCAGCAGTAGCAGTTAATAAATAGGAAAGTAAAGACAAATTAAATATGGAAAGACTTACTTAAATCTGGAAACTCCAGTAAACAGAAAGTAACTTCTCCTAACCTGCTTAGAATTTGGCCAGACTCTACATAAACCATCGTATGCCTGTAAAGGGGGCATACAGTCCCTTAATCAGTCCCACTGACATTGTAGACTCTTACTAGTCACAGAAAAACCTGCATATTCTGGAATGACTACAAAACTCATTATGTAGAGACTTTTATGAGTTTCTGCTAATGTTTTTGAGTGGTTCCTATTTAAAACCTTCACTGTTATGCAATTTTATTGCCTAGTAACTCAAATGGCAGCACAAAATAGTATGTTGTGTTAAATGTGTTTAATCATGCCAGCTAAACCTTCTGGACTTGCTTCTCTGTTCCTTCTATTTGTTGTGGAAAGAAAAAAAAAAGACACATGCTGAGGTTAAATCAACTTTTTTGGGGGCCATTGGAGAATAAAATGTTTTCTCAATAAAATTCTAATGCATGTCAAAATAGTAGGTTGATACAAATTATTCAGACTGATGCAGTAGTTGCCAGGATATGTACCAGGAGATAATGTACTTCCTAATTTGCTGCTTCAGAAACACCATACAAGTTAATTGAAAATATTTTTAAGTAGCCATACATAATGTTTTTATTTGTGAAGACTGTTATTTTCTGAATAAGTAATTACGTATTTTTTTCTCAAATTATGGTACAAAATGTGTTTCAAATCATGTCTCTGAGGCCAAAGTGTTCTAAAAAAAGCACTGCGTTTTTTCCTGTGACTTTCATCTCCAAACTAAAGCAGATAACTTTTATTTGTATGTTGATGGTAAAATGTAATAAGTTGTTCCATTTTAGTAACCAGACTATTTTTATAATACAAAAGTACAACCTGTTATAAACCAAAACTGCAGTACTAAGAAGCTGTTTTCTAAACTACAGCTGAAAAAATGAACCCAGTTTCTATGTATATGTCTACAGAGCATCTTTGATAAAGACAGACAATTTTATGAAGGTCTGGCAGCTGAATGAGGTTTTAAAGATGAAATTGCCTTGAATTCCTATATGTGGAAAGTAGCTTTTGTGAAAGGTTATTAAGTAAAAATTGCTAATTAATTCCTTTCTTTCTGGAAATCACTGAACTGTTTTTGAGGAAAAAAGGTCTTTTGGTTCAGTATATAGAAAGTTTCTACCATTTTTTTGGTTTTAAACCATGGTAAAATAAAAGAAGGTAAGTTCTGAAACAATCCTTAATTGCTTTATTCAGTATGAAAGACATAAGAAGTTTGTGAAGGACTACATTTTATACTATGGTGGCAAAATAGAGGATTTCCGACGTTCTGGGTAAGAATTGTTAGCAATCTTTCTCTTCATGCCCCCAAAGCTCCCCTGTTATGTGAAGTTGTTTAAATACATATTGTAGCTTTGTGGGGAGAGGGGGATATGGCTATGTATCAAATTACTAATTCTTGTGATCACAAATAGTAGCTACAGCCATTGTAAATATCCAAAACACAGAATTGCCTTGTTTCATTTTGCACCGTTATTTTTATATAAGAACTTACCATGAGCTGAATTATTCTTGGTTTGTTATGTAAAAGGAAAGATGACAGGTGAGCATTAATTGAGGGTACATTGAGAAATATCTGGCAGTACCTTCAAAATAACAATCTGAAATACTTTTGAAATGTTCAGAATTGCTGTCCATTGTCCAGAATAATGATAGCCTTCTTTAAGCTATCTGTAACTGCCTTCTAACATTGCTGTCTTCAATACAAAGTGTAAAAACTATTTTCAGGATCAAGTCATCCACAGTTTCAGTGGCCGTTTTCCACTGTGGATTTTTCATTTGGGAAAAGGTATGCCAGGGAGTGAATTTTTTGATAGTTTTATTCCATAGCAATATATTCCTTTATGTGGTGAGGTGGAGATCACAACTGTGAAATACTGATGTTTACGAAATTATTATTTGGCTGACTTTTCATTTTAATGTTACATTGTACTAAAAACAATGTGTCTTTTTATAGAGCAAACGACAAGACGGATCTTGACGTTATTAGAGAAAACCATAGATTCCTGTGGAACGAAGATGATGAAGCAGACATGAATTGGTACCTGGAACTGTTACAGAACATGTTATTTTTAGATCACTTGTACTAAATTTGTGGTGTCCCCTACTAATTAAGAATTACTGTGCATACTTAGTGATCATTCTTTGATCTTTAATGCATTTAAAAATGAAAGACCTTTAGGAGGTCTTTCATATTGTAATACTGCTCAGTGGCAAAATGAATTGATGACAGAAAGAACTAAGAAATATTTGTGCATTCTCCGAGATCCAAATGACTGTTCTGAAAACGCTGAAGGAAGCCTAGTTTGAAAAAATACATTGATTTGTGCTGTAGATATATTTTAGATGTATTTTTCCAGTTTTATGGACATTACCTCTTAGCTCAATGACTGTATTTCTATTGCATTTCTAGCTCTGCAACTTATGTTCTTCATATGAAACAACATGTCTTTGTCTTGCTGATGTCATTACAATGTAAAATGAATTGTATCATGTTCTATATTTAATAAAAAGAATACCTTTTATTATAGGGAGAAGAGGCTTGCAAAGAAGTATTATGATAAATTGTTCAAAGAATACTGTATAGCAGATCTCAGTAGATACAAAGAGAATAAGGTACGTTTCATTATTATAAATCACGTTGGTTTTAAAGTATATCCTTTTTTAAAAATTGCCTTATGATTGTGGATATGTTGTGAAACCAGGACATTAGTACCCCTTCCCTAGAAAGAGAGTTGTGAGAACTTGTCAAATTATTTAATAAGCAGCAGCAGTTTGAATCCAAGCATTGTCACTGCCCCAAAAATGTGCTGCTGTGGGAATAGGAGCATTTCTGTCAGATGGTGTTTTATGAAGAGGTACATTGTATGTAAGAAAGGCAGAAAATGCAGAGGGGTTAAGGAGAGAAGGCTAGAGAGGTTTGCCTGGAGAGAAGCACTAGATGAAGCCTAAGAAAACCCTGGGAATGTTACTGTTTAAAAAAAAAAAAAGGGTCTAAAAAGAGACAGTTTTGTACTTCAATGCTGGCAGAAACAATTTTGGAAATGTCTGTTCTAAAGCAGAGTCTTTTGCTGGTTGTTCTTTTCTGTTTATGGAAACAGGATTTGTATGTTCCTTGTAAATAAATAGAATTTCTTAAGAGAAACAGCCCAATTCCAGCACCATTTTTTCTTCTTAACCAGAAGAGCCTTTGTCATTTCCAAGTTTTTGACTAACTAACGTCTTAGTCAAAAAGAATACGTGAATTTTCTGCTGTGATTTTGCAAAGAGTGTTGCCAAACTCAGATGCATCTTGGTGGTGTTAGTACATAGTAACAACCCAGCACTGCCAACAGTGTCTATATAAAGTTCTTTGAGACTATTTATAGTGTTGAAAATTACATTCACTGGTAAATATTTGCAAGGACTGGGCTTAAATTCTAATATTAGGCAGAAAAGATGACAGCCTTCTAAAGAAAACCGGAACAGAAAAATGCAAAAATTAAATGAAAATTAGCAAAAAGTAAAATGCTGAAGATGTCTTCCCTCCTTTTTCTTGAGTAAATTTGATTTTATTTTCCTATAGCTGTTTCATATCCCTCAAGCTCTGCCCCACCCCCCCAACTGATTTTCCCCTGAGCCTGCTTACAGATTTTGTTTCTTTCACTACTGTGCCAAGTTTCCATATGTTTGCTATCTTTTGTGGGAAACTGTTCTGCCCCAGTTTCCTTGGTTGAGTTTGCTTGTTGGTTTTTTTTTTTTTAATGTGTTGTGTGAACAGTGTTTCCCTGTCAGACTTCAAATGTGGCTGTCCTAACTTTGAGGTCACTCTGAATTCCTATGTATGTTCATAAGTCATTACCTGTATTTTTGGAACTGCCATGTCAGCATAACTCTGCTATATCATGTAATTTGTTCGCTTATATTAGGTTATGCTGTCTGTTCTCAAACATGTTCTGACCATGTGAGAGTCCTTTCTTAGAAATTCTTAGAAAAATAGAAAAAATGAGATTTTTCTCAATTACTGATTTATCCATGCCCATGTTTGATACAGAAGGATGTCAAAGCAGGTTTTTTTCTTGGAAGTCAGAAATAAGCTGCTGATCCCATTCACACCAATGGAATGCAATTTGTGCTTTCAGATTTTTCCTGCCTTGATTCTTTTTCTGCATTTCCAGAAACTGGAAGTTGGATATCTTTAGCCCCTTGTGCCTTCTGTTTTGCAGTGCTGGTGCTATGAGAGGTGCAGGGTGGGTAACAAGCTTCTCAGCTGGCCAACCTTTTGTATGATAGTTGTTGATGCTTTATATGATGGTGCTTCATCTTGATATAAGAAAGAACTTTTTTACAGTGAGAAGATTAATTCACTGGAACAACTTCACCAGTGACATTAGGTAGAGTCCCCATCAATGAAGATGCAATTGCACAAGGTGCTAGATAACCTCACCTAGGCTCCCTTTTCCACAAAAGGCTGCACCAGATGATCTTTCGAAGTCCCTTCCAACCTGGGCTGTTCTGTGATTCTATGATTCTGTATCCTGCTAGGTGGTGTCAAAGTAAAGTTGGAGATCAGTTTTCTGTGATGTTTTTTACTCTCTATATATATATTGCATAGATTGAGACTTGCACATACATACTCATCTATCTTTTCACAACTGTAATTTTAGTTTTGCTACTAGTCAAAATCTTCTAGCGAGCTAATTCTTCTCAAGACCTCTGCATAGAGATTGTAGCTCAGATCTTATTTAGAACTTTTCTCGGAAAAGCCACTCTTTTCCTAAGTACTGGATAATGATAAGGACCAGTTTCATGGGAGGGGCTCTCTTGAGGTCTGAAAAACAAGACTGAAGCTCAAAAGAAAACAGTAAGAAGCCCCAAGACACCTGAGCCCCCGAGGCCACAGCTGTGCTCCAGTTGCTGGTTCAGACTGTTCCACTCAACATGCGTGTATGCATACACACACACACACACACACACACACAGAGATGGCTGGGACTCCCCTGGTCCCGTAGCAGACCCCCCGTGCTCCATCCTTAGAGATACACAGGTACTCTCACACCCAGATCTGGCCAGTGGAGACCCGCTCACCCTCCTTGCTCCCAGGCAACTTCACCTAGCTGGTACCTAGTCTGGCTTGGTCTTCACTGGTGCTCGCACGCCTGCACTCACCTTGCTTGCTGGCACTGCAGGCAAATGGGACCCTGTGACCCACGATCCTTCTTTTCTTTGTGTAATTAGGACATATAATCTTTTCCTTCTCTTTTGAGAGAATGCCAAGGTGACCCTCTGGTGCGAGGCTGCTTAGAGACACTGGAAGAGTGTGCTCTGCCAGCTCTTGCTTGTGATGGGTCTATTACTCCTTACGTTTTCCCTAGATCAGAATTTTTTAGGTCAAGGTTGTCTTTGAATCTTCAGTGCATCTTGTCTGCAGGCTTTGAGGCTGATAAATGACCATCTGTATTGTCAGCTAGTTTAGTTCTATGTCAGTTTTGCAATGCAGTAAGGGAGAGTGCTCTGCATGTAAGTTTTACTTTGATATGCATTGGACTAGAAATGTTCTCTTTGTTGTCTTATTTTCCTAGAAAGGTTCTTATTTGCTGTCTCTGTGCTTTGTTTTGTAGCTTAACAGATTGGAAATGTCTCCTATTTGCTAAGAAGTGAAATCTGTCTGACACCTGGTCATTAAACAGAATACATTTTATTCTTTTGTCTTTATTTCCAGATCATTTTCAGATTTCTAGGCCAACTTGTCTTCTACTTGGTAGTGTTAATATGTTCGCTTTTGCATTGTTTTTCAGCATGGAGGCTTTCCTGTGAAAGTAAAAATATTTAAAATATCTATGGTATTTTTCCACAGCGTTGTCTAAATTCTAATTTCTTTTCTTCTGAAAGAGGTGACTGTGGACATACTGGTTGTTGCTGCAGCCAATGCATATTACACAAGCAGTCCATATTTAATTCGGGAATTTTATTTTTTATGGATATTAAATGGTCTTTCACTAACATTTCATATTAAATTAGCCATGTGATACTCTTGTAAAGCATCTGTTTTGGAGTTGTTCTACTTGGTCTTGGCCTACCTTGTAGAAATAGCTCATTTAGGATTTTGTTGAAGTCATTTAACAAAGAAGATGAAGCAGAATAAATGCTGTCTGCTGACAATGCTTTTGCATTCCTTAATGTTGCAGGCTGACTATTCAAAAACCTACCCTAATTTTTAATTTTCCTATATAGCTTAATCTGTTCCTGATATTTTAGCTTAGTTAGAGGAATTCAATTATATTTGCTTTTTATTTTATTGTTTCTTCTTAGCCTTGGTCTCTCTCTGTCATTTTCCACTAGTTGGTGGAAGAATGATTGGCAAAAATAAATGCACATGAGGACAACTTTTGTCTTAGAGGTACTACAGGTGGTTCTGGCTTCCTCCTTTCTTTTAGTTTGCTTATTTTCTTCATATCATTACAGAAATACTCTGTAAGGATATAATCTGATTTATATCTTACTGAGTCAAGTTCAGACTATGAGGGAAAATTTGTATAAAAGTCTACTTCAGTAGCAAAAGTGAGCATGGATAACTTGGTGATTGGTGAAGTAACAGATGGACTGTGAAAAAGCAAACAGGCAGATAAGGTTGAATTATTTTTTACTTTTTATTGCCAGCAGCAAACACATGCAAAATTGGTGCCGAGATACTGTTGACGTTTAATTGTATTGCACTATTTTTCAATTGCATCACAAGCTTTTCAGAATTAGAATACCCTGTAAAACAGCAAATATCCTTTAAAAGAGCAAAAACAATTACCATCACTCTTTGGATCAACTGGTTTCTATCATGAATTCTGCATTTACAGATGTATTTTACATTCTGTTTTCACTGAACTGTTCAGCACTGTTTGTGGTTTTTACAATTGATTAATTTTTGTTTGACTGAAGCATGAGTGGTGTAATGGTACCTTAGACCACGCTGCAGATTTGTAGAGTAGGCCAAGCACAACCTGATCCAACCTTAGCAAACTGTCATCATACACAATATGATAGCAGAACCTGATCTTATCCTGTGATATTTTTACCAGTGAAGCCAGTAGGTGGGAAAACATTGTTTATGTTATAATACCAATTTGAAAATTAGGGGGCTGTCGTGGTTTAGCCCCAGCCAGCAACTAAGCACCACGCAGCCGCTCGCTCACTCCCCCTGCCCAGGTGGGATGGGGGAGCGAATCGGAGGAGTAAGAGTGAGAAACACTCCTGGGTTGAGATAAGAACAGTTTAATAATTGAAATAAAGTAAAATAGTAATGATAATAGTAACAATATACTACTACTACTACTACTACTAATATATAAAGCAAGTGATGCACAATGCAATTGCTCACCACCTGCTGACCGATACCCAGACAGTTCCCGAGCAGCGATCGCTGCTCCCCAGCCAACCCCCCCCCAGTTTCTATACTGAGCATGAGGTCATATGGTATGGGATAGTCCTTTGGGCAGTTTGGATCAACTATTCTGGCTGTGCCCCCTCCCAGTTTCTTGTGTACCTGGCAGAGCATGGGAAGCTGAAAAGTCCTTGACTAGCACAAGCAGTACTTGGCAACAACTAAAAACATCAGCGTGTTATCAGCATTATTCTCATTCTAAATCCAAAACACAGCACTATGCCTGCTACTAGGAAGAAAATTAACTCTATCCCAGCCGAAACCAGGACAGGGGCTGATTTAGAGGCAAGTGTTTTGTTGGTGTACAAATTTTTAGTTTTCTTAGGCATCTTCTATGTAATATATTGACTTGGGAAAAATCAGTGCCAGCAAAACATTTGGCTACTGATGTCTTTCTGCTCAGTTTTTTTCAGCTTTGTTATTAAGGTGCAAAGCATTTATATGAGAGTATGGCACATTCTTAAATGCCAAAACTTTTGTTTCCATGTTTTTTCTGATGTTCTTTGAACCACATACCACTTCATGCATGAGAACTCCATGCAGTTGCCCTTCAGATACATTCATAATAAAAGAATTATTGTGGTTTATTAAAAAAATCAACATTAAAGAGCACACACAGCAATAGATACCTATACTTCTGTACAGTGTTTAAAATTAGATTAAAAACATTGAAAATCAATCCATTGTATTACAGAATTTATACCACTGCATCTCAAAATGCACATTTGTGTGGGTTCAGTCTATGAGTGCACCAAAAGAAGGTTCATACTCCAAAGGATGCTTTGGAACTCAAGTGCCAAAGATGGGCTTTGTAGCCATTTTTGTACCTGTTTGATTTTGTAACGTTTCTTCCCCCTCTCCCCTCCCCATCTTTTAACATGAAGGTCAGAGTCTTCTGTGCTTTGCTTAAAGAGCAGTAATTTTATCTTGTTGTCATCCTCTGTTCATGAATTTTAAATGAAAATGTAAGATAGCCCTTTTTGGAGAAGTTGTATGCCTCTAAGTTTTATCCTCTCTTTCTACTTGTTAGTGAAAATAATTTTTTTTTCCCCTAGTCTGTTCTCACTCCCTTCTATCTTCAATCTTTTCACTAGGCTACTTGCCATTTTGAGAGGATGAAGCAGATTCTACTGGAAAACAAAAATAGTAGATGAGTTACCTACATGTGAAGTTTCTAGGCAATGTAAAAAGAAATACAACTTAGTTGTTGGTTTGGGGTTTTTTTTTTTGTCTTAGTCTTTAGGATGTAAGAGGTGATCCATTGATACATGCTAATATGACTTTTCAGTATTCCAGTGGTCTTCTCAGTTTTTAGTGTGGGCAAAATTGCAATGAAGTATCTAGTAAAGTCAGTCTATCCTAATTTCCTATTTGTTCTTTTGCCTGTGATGAAGCCTTTTAGAAAGTTGCTGTTCAGTACTGAACAGCATCTACTGGAATTTGAATTGCATGTGTAAATTGGAATTCTTCTGGCAAGCAGAGGCAGAGAGGTATTTTTAATTAACAGAGAAAGAAATTAAATGTTACTAGCCAGAATTGAATGGATGAACCACATTGCAGGACATCAATCAACTGAAATTAGTCTTTACATTACTGAATACGTTGACTATTCACAACTTCATTTTGGTTCTTATCTTAACAGTTTGGATTTAGATGGCGACACGAAAAAGAAGTAATTTCAGGAAAAGGTAATGCTGTCTTTCATTTTATATTACGTTTCTCCTTAATGCTTTTCTTGCTGCTTTAGATAGTATTTGACAATAGCAGTAAGTTTATCAGATAATAACAGACAATAAATTGACCTAGCTTCTAACTTTTCTGGTTTATGCCACCTAGCTCTAGAGTGCACGCTGATCTGCATATATTAAAATTAAGAGAACATATGGTTTATTTTTACAAGGTCAGATTTGTAATGAACACCAACATAATGCATTTGATAATGTAGAATTTTCATGGATATGTTTTCTTGCTGCTTTTCTCCAGTAGTTCCGTTGCCTCATTAGTCTTTGATACCTGTAAGTGAAGTCTCTCAATACTTTTCCTCAGGAAATAATTTTCTTAACAGTTTCTCCAATGCTGTTTTGCAAAATGTTAACTTTTTAATTAAAGGTCCATGTGTGATGTCTGTTTTAAGCTAAATTGGTTTTGAAAGCCTCAGTGGGAATCACTGGGAATGGTTGTCATGTCTCCCAATCCTGTTTCTAAATCAGTAGCTTATTCTGGCTGCTTCTGCGTGTGAGTTCTTACAGATGTGTTATTGGGACTTTGCCCAGAGGTCCCCGTTCCATGGCCTGGGCGCACGGACTTGTTTGAAGTAGCTGAACAAGCAAGAAAAGGATGTGAATGTGTTGCTGTTCCTGTGGGCAGATCTTCATGCACATGTACGGTTTTCAGAAGTCATGCATGCACATGCAAGGAAATCGCATGGAGTGATAGTATTGATCATAGCAGTTCTGTAAACAGCTCTATTTATTATAATATATTACAAGAAGCTGGAAGTACACTTGTTTTTAAAAAAAATTATATCATTTCACAGGAGGAAGTGCGAACATTAATGGTGGGGGTTTTTAAGCTATAAAGATTAAAGCTCTTAAAGGTAGTCGTAGTCATAAGTTGCATTCAGCGCTGCAGATTGTATTAACAGGTAGTCACATTTGATGTGTGCTTTATGGAATGCTTTAGCAAGGTAATTCAAATGAAATGAGAAATGCATAATTTATGAACAATTATGTCTTCATGGGGAAAAAGAATTTAAAGCTGCATTGTCCTTTTAACGTCTGGTACTCCATATTTAAAAATGTGGGAGAAAGTGCGGAATGAGGCGTTTTGAGCTTCTGAACGCGACCCTAAGGCAGGCGTGCGGCTGGAGCAAGGCTGGAGCAGTAGTACCTCTCACCGCTAGGGGGCGGAGGACGCCAAGCGCGGTTTCAAATGCGCCTTGGAAAGCAGGCGTGAATCCTTAATTCATAGAATGCTTTGGGTTATTAGAATCATAGAATGCTTTGGGTTGGAAGGGACCTTGAGAGATCATCGAGCCCAACCCCCCCTGCAGGGAGCAGGGATTGAACCCGTGACCTTGGCGTTATTAGCGCCACGCTCTAACCAACTGAGCTAACCCGGCTGGTCAGTGCCTTTCTTGTGCTATTTTCAAGTATAAATCAGTAATATAAGTTGCTTTAATGAAGTGTAATAAAGCATTAATACCTACCTGTCTGATAATGCACCTTAAAAAAGGGAGAGCAGGCGCTTGTTGTAGCTGTGACAGTAATAGTGGTGACGAGAAGCGCCGCTGGTGGACTGTACTGTGGTTTGGGGTGTGTTACGACGGGACCGTAGGGATGGGTTACCCACGTTTGATTGCTTTGTTTTCGATGTCTGTCTCTGTAAGGTCATGGAGAAGAGAAGGGTTAGGATGAGTGAAAGGAGAGGTGTCACTTGTATTACTAACTATAAATGCCAGATAATTTCTTTCTCTTCTTTCCCACTCCAGTCTTTTACCATAGGTGTTCTGAAAGGAGGTCATATTGGAGATTGCTCTTGTATCTCCTTAAAATTAAAATGTAGCCTTAATGACATAAAGTTGCCAGTTTGAATAAATGGTTCCACAAAATGGGCATTTTCTTAATTAAAATCTTAAGTTAAAGTAGAAACCCTATTTAAATTTTATACATCAGTGAATACTAGGCACATGAGTGAGTTGGTCTGAAAATAAATCCTTAAAATGAAAAGCTTTTAAGCTATTTAAAAACAGTATTTGACATGCCTTCCCAAGTACTTTTTCTCTACTTTCAAAGCATGAATAGTAAGGTATGGCATAAAATTTAAAAATACAAGGTATTTTAAGCAAAAGGTGGTAGTGGTAAAAGTTTTCTGTAGGAAAATAGGTAAAAAGTTCATTGGGTAGAGGTGAAATAGGACTTTCTTAGCAATATGCAGAAAGAGCAAAGCTGAACCTGTGGGTATATTTGCTGCCTTCTACTTACTTGTATTTGTAGATTAAGTAGTAAAATACTCAAACCAGACATATTATTTGGCAAAATAGGGTTTAATACCTACAAATAGATCTACTCTCCATTTTTTTTACTATTTCATTGAACTAACATTCCACTTTTAGTGTAGTAGTGTCTTTCTTAGTCTGTTTTATATGTGTATAAGTACACATATAATATGCTTTACCTTATTTAAACAAATGTTCTTCCAAACCTGTTTCCATTTATTTTTTCTCAGTAATTTCCTCCATGGAAAATAGGGTATGAATACCTGGATAGTGCACCATGTATCCATATACCAATCTGGTACATCTGAGTTCTGATCAAAATGCATTAAAATCAGTCTTTTGGCTCTCTCGATTTCCTTAGTATAGTTAATTTTCAGTACTTCATTTAGCTTGTAGTACTTACATTTTCCACCTATTCTGCTCTTCTGCAAGGAGCAGAAGGTGCTAATAGTTTTTAAAAGCACACATTTAACAGCCAGATTATAGGAGTTATAATTCTGAACATGAAGGCAGTAACTTCCCTGCAGCTCATAGCAAGGTGACAAAACTTCAGATGGAAGTGGAATTTTGGACATACATTTTTCTTGCTGCTTAAATTACGTAACTGTCCACTTGTCACACTGGTTTCTGTGTCTTCCTTTCTTGGACATCTAACTGTGGGAAAAGTCATGTTTCAAGCACTGAATAATCTGGTCCGTAGTTCCCTTTGATTTGGGTTCTCTATACACGTGATGGGCATTATAATGATCTCTTACTTTGCAAAAATACGTTTTTTAATGCTTTTATGACATTCAGATATACTAGAGTGATATATACTACTGAAAAAGCCTTCAGAAAGACTGGAATTCTGTATTCAAGCCAAAGTTTGAATGTGTGTTGTAGGGACTGCAGTGTGAAAGGAGGGTAAGAGAAACCTGACTGTTTATACACACGTATGGCATGGAGCAGGGATCTGGAAAAAAAAACCCACCATGACTTCAGATATTTAGATGATCATAAATGCAAGTACATGTGTAAGGGCACAGAATTATGGTGGTTTATATAGTCAAGTTCTGGTTTACCTAAGAATTCATTGCCTGCCTTAGTAATCTGAAGATATTGTTTCAACTGTATTCTTGTGAACATACCCAGTTTCACATCCAAAATGTAGAATATCCAGAATGGATTTTACATACTGTAAAAAGCAGCTAATCATAAATCTCTGCCTATTTTTCTGGGTTTGTTTTGGGATTTTTTTCAGAAGATACGAAGTAAATAGTCTGGTTAAGTTCCAAAAAGTTTTATATAATATAAATTTTTCCTTGTAGATTTTTGCTTCTTTATAACAGATACAAATTATTCCTGATGACACAGGATACTGATAACCATACCTTACATAGGGTTAAACATATTTAATGTATATTAATTTGAAACTCTTTTTATAATGGGAGTCCTGGGGTTTTTTTTGCTTCAAGTGTTAGCATTGCAAGTGTTTTTACATTGCAGAACTGAAATATCTGAGGACACTGCCAATCCATTAGTTAGCAGCTTAAAGCAGAATGTTTTGAGGTTAATCGTTCACCGACAGTCCTCCCTGTGAGCCTATTAATACACATCCTTACTGCCAGCTCTGCGTGCGAACCAGTCTTCTGCAAAGGGAATATATGTATCTTTATTACTGCAATATTGGGAACCCAGTGGTGTAAACAACACTGATTATGTGCAAAAAGTTTTAAAATTAGTGTGGTATTTAACATAAGAAACCCAAGGAAGCTTTTAAAGCTGCCGTATAGTTTCTCATAGAATTGGATTTCCTTTTCTTAAAAGAAGAGTAAAGTGTTTATGGAAAGTCATTAGAATACAAATTGTATGGTGAACTAATAAGGTAATAAGAACATGGGCATCTTAATTTTGTACATACATGATACTTTGAATAGTTTGATGTCATAAAGATGTATGTCTGAATCGCACCTCCTGATCCATCAGCCTCTGCTAAGTAAGTAATCGTTTAAGATATAGAATGTATCCTAGTGACGTTTATTTCTTCAGAGTTCAGTATTAGGCTTATTATTTCATAACATATGCCTTCATCTATACATTGTAGAACACAGTTCAAGTAATGTTCTTTCTTTTCAGATATGCAATATTAGACAGGTATGATTGATTGCTTTGTCATTATCTGTTATTGTTTCCTTAATCTAGATGTTACTTTTAGATTTGGGCTTTTTTATTTGAAAGAAATGGAAAACAAAAAGCAAAAACTGAGCAAAACTGGACATAACAACCCCAAACCTGTGCTTGTTAATCATTGAACCATGGTTTGCTGTTTTTGACCTCTTTAAAGGTCAGTTTTCCTGTGGAAATAAGCACTGTGATGAGAGAGAAGGCCTGAAGAGCTGGGAGGTGAATTTTGGTTACGTTGAACATGGTGAAAAGAGGAATGCACTTGTGAAATTGAGTAAGTCAGCCCTTCAAGGATATGTACACTTAAAAGAAGACAAATATCTTGTGCTTTAAAAGCTATCGAGTGAGACTTAAGGACAATTATATTAATTCATGCAAAATGGAAAATGATGAATAGGAGATAATTTTTGTAAATTAATTACAGGTAGTATGATGGTCTTGATTTAGAGAGAACGGCTATTAGCATGATATATGACAAAGTTGTTACAGGTTGAGCACCACTATAATTGGTGGTGTCATAAAATTAGAATCACTGATTATAAGCTGGTTTGTATACAAGCATGTCTGGCTTTAATGGACAATACTGCATTGCAAGGAGGGTTTTGTCATTGTCATTGCTTAATCAGTTACATGGTTTAGGAGTCCTTAGGGCTTTGGACCAGACAACTTCTTGCACACCTTTAGCTCTACTAATTTTATTTTTAATACCTATGTTTTGTTCCAAAAATTCTAACTTCAATTAAATCACTTCCGTTTCCAGTCTTGTCTCTTGAGTGGGATTTTCTTATTCAGTATGGTGTACATTTTGATATATTCATCAGATAATTAAACTTACCACAGTTTACACAGTTACTTTGTGTAAAACAAGCTAATGGTGTTTTTTTCTTTTGTGCACAAGACACTCCATGTGGCAGCACTTTGTCTCTGGCAAAGCTCTAAGAGACTTACAGGTCTTCAGTATAATTGTAGAACAATTCGACCTGTCCACAAAGATCCATAAAATGGGATATCTGTACGTGATAAGCACTGACACTTTTTAATGAAAATTTGCCAGTGCTAAACCTGTCATCTTTCTCCAAGTTCAGTAAAATCTGGGTTTGTGCTGAAGACCTTTATCATGGTATTTTTCTCAAGCCTGGCTGCAATTACACTGTAACTTTTGTTTTGAAGGCAAAGCTACTGAAATTGGAAGATATTGCAAGTTTTGTATATGTATTAATAAGTTTTGTTAATTATGCTTATCACACACATGGGTGTAATGTTCTCATTCTCTTTTTTTTCAGGACTATGTCCAGAATGTTCCTACAAACTAAACTTTCATCACCGGTAATTAAATATTTTGAAAATATGGGGGCTGAATTATTGATAGATTACAGTTATGATGAACAACAAATAGGGAGAAAACTTCAGCTAGATGATCAGAAACTTCATTTATGCTGAAACAGATTCTGTTCTGGAGTTCTTATAAAGTCACTGGCTTGACACTGTTGAGAGTTAGATATTGTGCTAATGAAAGTACAAAACCCCTCAAACTGGAAGAATCCCATCCCCACCCCCATGAAAGTTTCCTTTGCTTAATTTCAGCCCAGTGATTGTTTTTCTTTTCTGAAAGTTTATGCAAAACAGTCTTTTTTATTTTCCCTCTTGCTGTGTGTAAGAGCTGGAATGCTTTTCCTTTTCTTAAAAACAGTGGTTTATGTGTGAATCAAGTGACTGTGCTTTGAAATTTTGAATTTGAGTATTCGTTCTTCTTTGAGAAAAACTTATTAATAGAGAAAAATAGTGATTTTTGAACCTATAAAATGTGTGCATTAAGATTTTATTTGTTTTTTATTATTATCTGTAATCTTACTGAATTCCACAACTATTGATACTCAGTTTTTATGATTTTCTGAATCTCGATGTGTCATTAATGGTTGGACTGGATGATCTTAAAGGTCTTTTCCAACCTAAACAATTCTATGATTAACTTAGTTGCATGGCTCAGTAATTAAGCTGTACAATTATCTGAAAAGCATATGAAAGGGAAACCTTCGAGCTAGGAAATTACGATTTCTGTTTTTAAAGTAACACAAATCAAAGGTGCATCTAGATGGATATATCCAAGATAGTTAATTAAAAATTAATTCATATTCAATTTCATTAAAGAACTGTGTTGGCACATATCAAGAAGGAGAATTAACTAGCTGAGATTAGTTTGATTTGTCTTGCTTCTTTTTGGAACTAAAATTGTACAACCACTTGAATTCAGAATAAGCATGGTCAAACATTTTCTCCTTGTCAGCTACAGAGTAATACTTTGAAAGAATTTTAATGACTTTTTTGTGCAAAGCAGCAGAAAAAAGTTAGCCTATGTTCACAAAAGAAGCCTATATAAGTAATACTGAAAATAAAATACACGGGTTGTTGGTCTGCAGCAGGTTCTTAGGCTTGAGATTCTTCTACCTCAGGTTTTGTTGCTTTCAAATATGAAAATATATTTTAAAACCTGTATTAACTGTTTTTCTCATTACATACATACAAGATTGCTAGAAGAAAAAATGAGATTTCAATATAAATAAGAATTTGGCATGTTACAAAATTATTTTCTGTATTTAATCTTTGATTGCCGGTTCACTGTTTTTGTTGCCTGCATCAGTGTCACTTTAGCAGCTTTAGCATTTCCTTTACCTCATCTTTAGCTATAGAGCTCTAGTGTTTCTGTAGCACTTTTCATTTTAACTATATTAATTTTTTTCAGTTTAACTAGTGATAGGTTTCAGAAAAAATGATAACTGTTTGAGGTAAATAATTGAGATTTACTGTTGCTTGAGGAGTACTTATAATAGAGAAGGTGTACATTCATTTTTTAAAGGCGGAAAGAAGTCAAAGCACACAAGAAAAGAGGCACAGCTGTACTGAACTCTAAAGAACCAAAAATTAAGAAGGCAAAGCTATCTTGTTCAGCAAAAAAGAAGTCCAAAAAAAAGACCCATAAAGGTAAGTTTCAATTTTAGACCTTCAGTTTTTAAAATATTCAAATATGTTACTTGAATCTTAGTTTTGCTATACCTACATATGTACAGATATAGATAAATAATTATGTATAAATGTAGATATGGAACTTTCTTGACTGTGTAACACAGGTAGTCAAAAAGGTAAATTTCTTAGGTAAAATTTCCTAGGTGCACAACAAAGATAAATTTGGAGAAAAAAAGATAAATTTGTTATATTTTACAGAGAGGGAGAGCCTTCTGAAAAATATGCATTGCAAGGAAAATTTGTCCAAGGATTGGACACTGCATACCAGAAAGGCTTGTAAAGTGTTTAATTCCTTGAGGCTTTGGGGTTGAAAGCCTTTTGGAAATGTTAGGTAACCTTTTTATACCACAGATGGCAGGATAACATGTTTGTGCTCAAACTGATGCCCTTTGAACTCATGCAAGAAAAATCCTTTTGCTTCAGTGTTTGCTTGCTTTCTTTGAAAGTATGGTGTGTGCGTGCATGTGCACATGTTTATGTGATAGAAATATCCTTGTAAACAGTTTAAGATCACAGATAAAACCAAGATAAGCTTACTGGTTTTTAAACGGTGTTTCTTTCCAGATCAGGTTTCTTCAGAAGATTCAGATAATTCTGATAAAGGTAAAGTACTTGAATATGTTCTGCATTTTATGTTTTTGTAATAAATTGTATTATTTCATAGTTATTTGTCATTGGTCTTAGTTTTATTCGCTGGCAGTTTTAATATTTTATAAGATGATAAGAATGCTGCATGAAAACAAGCAGAGATATGAAGGGTCAAAATAATTACAAATTCTTGGAGAAAAACTGTAGGGAATTTTAAGGAGGAAATCTTTTAAGGAAGGAATAAACATGTGGGCAGATAACAGAATGGAAATAATCAGAAAAATGAGAGGTCAGGTTGTTCCAGAAAAGAGTAGAGGGTGCAAAAATAGGTACGTTGTTAATAATTGCATGGGTCCAGGTATGCAAGTATGTGCTGCGTAATGTGTGCTGTGTAAAGTGCGTACTTCTCTGACATAACAACTACTACATTTCCTTTCAGGGAATGATACTAATATGTACTCTACTCGAAAAATTAATAGATTTTAAATAAATCCTAGGCTTTAACTGAAGTTTTTTTCCAGCTACCACCTGTAATACCTCAGAGACCTACTTGTTGTGGGTGGATGCACTCAGAGTCCCAGTGACTCTTTGGGCACTGGTTGTCTCTGTATCTCAGTAATTCCAGTCCCCAGTTTCCTTTTTGATGAAACAAGCCCCATCTCCTGGTCATGCCAGTTCTTGCTGCAGACTGTCTAGAAGGGATTGAGTGTTTCTACCGATTGTTCTGCTGTGCTATACGGTTTTAAGAATGTCCTCAGCACCTACGTTTTCCCACCTAGATACAGGAAGACCTGAAGCGGTTTACTTATGATTCAGACCATGCCCTAAGTCTCTGTTTTGTCAGGAAAGCTCTATTGGAAGATTGGGGTTTTTTAGGTCAGGGCATATTTCTGATAAGATTTTTGGTTTTGCTTTTCACTCCTTCTGTATACTTACACGAACGAAACAGTTATGCAGTAATCCATGTTTTCTGACAATTTCACTGATAAGTTACAATTGATAAAAGTTGTCATTCAAGTAGAAGTAATTGATTCATTTAATATCATGAGTCGAAACTGTATTGTAATTCTGGGTTTGTGATTATAAGCCCTTAATTTTAAGAACAAAGTGCTATGCTGCTGGTGTGTCAAGATCAGTGTTTTGACACGATTGTTGTTGTTATGTTTGGCCAAAATATTAGTATATTTAATCTAATCTAATATCTAAAAGTCTTTTTGATGCTGTATTGAATAATATTGGAAAATGTTTTGGTTTTACTTTATGCAAAATGAAGTTAAACCATCTAAATAATAATAATTAAAAAAGATAAATTCTGTTAAAATTTATTTCATAAGCGCTTTAAATTTTTTAACAGATTCAGGTAACAGTGATGCACAAGATGGTCCTTCAGATGCTGACTTTTGGAAAGGTCCTCTACAAGATACAGATGAAAAATCACGGTTAGTTTGATCTAGTGAACTTGTAGCTAGTAAAACGTACCATGTCCATTCAGAAATGAAAAGGCAGAGATTTTATCCTGCGTGTTTTAATGAATATTCTGACATTTAAAATTATGTCAGATCTCCTTCCATTTAGTGAACCTAAGTATGTTTTTTTTAAAGAGGAGACATACACAACACTGGAGGGAAAACTTTTGTCAAGCCACTACCATGCCACTGCTGTCTTACTCCCTACCATACTCTTAACTATCTTAGAACTAAATCCTAACAGTCAACTCACTGCTGTTGCACAGAAGGGGAAATGTGAAGGGTATAGGAATATATTGAATAAATCAAAATGGTCTATAGCAGCTACAAATTCTAATCAGAAGTCTGCTAAATAATCTTTTTCGTACAAAGATTATCTCCTAGGTACAGATCCAAAGCAGAACTTTGACTTTTTTTTTTTCTTTTTTTGTTTTTTTAACAGGGAGGAGGAGTTCGATGAGTATTTTCAAGACTTGTTTCTCTGAAAGTTGAAATTGATGTAGGCTGATTTTTCTTCATGAATTGTCACGATGAAAGTCTGGAATCCAGTCCTAATTAGGGACCAGAGACCTCTTTCTGCCAGCATACCTTTTCTACAGTCACTCATATGGACCATCTCAGTAGATTATTTTTGTAGAAGGCTTCAGGTCTAAAAACTTTCTTTTTATGGTGGTAGGCTGTATACTCATGAAATAAGAGAAATATTTTTTTTCAGTTCAGCACAAAAGATACATGGCACCCAAACTTAAAAGTAGGAAGGATGTAAACAAACAACAATATAGTTTATTGACATTACATTAAGGAAGTTGGCTGCTTTTTATTTTATCCCAAATTTCAGTTATTGTCAGATTTTTGTAAAGGGGCATTTTGGGAGATTCTGTTATTAGTTTAAAGCCATACACTTTAATATATTCATATTTCTAATTTATTAAACAAGAGTTAATAGCTTTAAATTTATTGGTCATGTAGACTTTAATATTCAGGTATTAGTCTCTGTAAATACTCTCAAATGCTATTGGAGAAGTTCAGTTTTTATCAAATGCATATTTTGCTTGAATTAAGGAAAACATATCTGAAATGTCTCCCCTACTCCTTAGAAAAGTTCAGTTCATGGTGACTTTGTTTTAAACTTTAGTTACAATATGATGTGACTGATAATTCCACTTACAAAAATCTGGTTGGTTGGAGAAATTTTTGATGTAAAAAATAGTGCGCGTTTCTACTGGAGATGTACATGTGACTTGTATGTTGTCTATGGTTTCTGACCTCCTTAACATTGATTGAATGTTAATCCTTCTTTAAAGTGTAATCCTAAATATACACGTAAAGAAGGTATATCGCTTGTGAAACTTACTGGATTCATCTTCGTCTTCAAATTGCAACACAACTTTAAACATTCTTTATTTTATGTTTCCAAAGAAAGAGTCTGCACGTGAGAGTTACAGTGGCTATTTTCTTTGTCCAATGAAAATTACTTTGGATATAAAGGATAAATGTTTTTTTAATAAAATGTTCATGTTAATCTGAGGAAAATTAATTTTGTATAAAACACATTTTTGATAAGTACTTCCCACTGTAGATACATTTATAGAAATTATTTATAATAAGTATTTGATGTGGAAAATGTAACAGTAGAGATGGTTGCAGTGTATTTATGAACATTTTACATGCACTTGTATGAATAAGTTGAGAACTCTATTTACAAGTATTACTTAACATAATTACAATTTAAACAGTTTGTACTTACATAATAGATGACAGTACAAGGACGTATTTAGGGTGCCCTTGAGTAAGAAATAAACGTAGCCTTGTGTGAAGGCTTCTTTAGGTAAGAAGGTGGATTTAAAGGTTAATTCTCTGTCATCTTGCAAGCTTGGTTGAGAGTCAAATCCAGTCTGCAGCAATCTGCTTACATGTATGCAACTTGCCCAAAGGGGCTTTTGTCAAGTGTGTTGCTATATTTGTTGCTTCAAGTATTGTATATTATGTGTTCTGGATAACTAACTCCTCGTTGGGTCTTCAAAATACAGTTATGAAATGGTACAGTATACATATTAAATACATCATTTAATACAGTTTGAATAAAATTACATGATTAAACAACCTTGAAATAGCTTTCTTAAGTATCTGCATTTAATACAGAAAATCATAACCTGATACCCAGTTTTATGTCATAACTAAGTTTGCATAAAATATTTGGCCCATTTATAAATAGGGATGTAGTAAGTGGGATTTTTTTGTGGATTCCTTTAATTTTGGGTGATAGTTGTACACAGTATCTATGTTCGTAGAGCATTCTTAGAAAGGTATATAATATGGCAAATCATTCTCCCTTCTCTGTGGCTGCTGAGGGCTCTTCAGAGAGAAAAAAAAGTATGGGTCTCCTTTCTTTAAAGGGGGAAGAGAAGTGGCAGGATTGAGTCTGCATGTCAGACTTGTTTGTTGCAGGAGTTGCATTTGACATCCATCTCAGATTTGGAACGGGTTCCAGTGAATACTCAGATCCATGCATAATATACTAGCCATTTTCCTTCCTTCATCTGCAGGAGGAGCCGGCTTCCTGAGACCTGAGTAGAAGGTATGGAGCGGACTCTGTCATTCTTGAAGAACAGAAGGTTTTGGTAGGGAGATCGTTGTTTATGAAGAGCTAATTTGTGTGCAGTCTGTCGTCTTGGTTGTAGAAAGGGAGGTAATGTGAATTCTGATGTGCTCTACTTCTGCTGTCCTCTCCCAAGATTCAGTTGGTGCCAGTTCACTGGTTTTCAAATACTTTTATTTACTGCATTTTAAAAAAGGTGCACTGAGTGTACATGAGCCTTTTAAAATGCCTCTGAATGTAGATCCTGCTGTAGATATACTGGTATAGGTATCTTAGTATTTTGCTCGTATGCAAAATACGATGTTTACGGTCTGCCTTTTTAGATTTTTACAATAAGAGATGGTCAGTTTAGGAACTGTGGGCAGAGCCATTTTCACATGGGCAAAAGAGTGGTTTTTCAGAGCTATGGCTATTACAGATTTATCCTTGGTAGTTTTCAAAAAATACTGTGTATCATGGACCTGCTTTTAATAGATATGAGCCAGGGAATTGTGTTGAGTATTCCTAAAGTGAAGGAGATGTTTACTCTAGAACTTTATATAGTATTGAGAATGAAGGAAAAGGACAATTCCAGGTTAAGGAAATAGACATAATATAAAAATCTTAAATATACAAGTTATGAAAATTGCAATTTTTTGTTTGAATTGTACATGTTAGATTTCATTCAGTAATTTCATATAAGATCTGTCAAAATTATTGATATTTTTTTCTGGACAGTGTGCAGAAGTTACATATTTTAATAAAAATACTGTATATAAATTGAGTGACATGAAAAAATACCTAGAGCGCACAGTGAACTCATTTTGCACCATTATTTTTTCTTTTAATTTTCCAGTTATTAATTGTAACTGTTTACTCCATTAAAAATCATTTCCAACAAATGGCAAGTGTTTAAGAGGATTGTTAAGAGGTTGATCTATACTATTCTATGCAAAGCAGAAATCCGCTGGGGCTCATTGAAGTTCTTTCTAGATGTCTTTTCTGTAGCAGAAACAGTGTCTGAGACAAAGAACTACAAAATTATACACGTTTTGGATTTTCCATCCTCTCCACTTCCGCCACCACCTCCAGCTGCATTTTCAGCTAAAAAACAGAGAAGCGAAGTGAGTATTTTCTGTTAATTTTAGCTGCTCTGATTTCTTAAAAAGGTATTGCTTTTGTGATATGCGTATTACGTGTGTTTGACCTTCTGAAAATTGAACGCGCTTTCACTACTTATCTGGGAAAATGGAATAAGAAACAGTAACACATGCTCTACATACGTATGTGTATATAGTGTAGCAGCTGATACCAACATTTCTCAAAGGACCAAACACACACTGAACCACTCTTACTGGAAAGTTTCAGTAGTTAAATATATATAACTCTGTCCCACACATACAAAACTGAGGTATGCAAGCCATGCAAAAGAAATAAACTCTTGGATCAATATAATCTGTGAATCTATTTTTGAAGCAGATGATACAAAAACTTTAATTTGACCTAATTGTATAAGCCTTTATCCAACCCTGCATGAATCCCTTTGTAATTCCCAATTAAGAGAGAGAGACACTTTTAATGTTTATCCATAGCTTCTGATTCTGTTACTGTCTCTCTCAAATGATTCCACAGATGTTCATTGGTCATAGTTAAGATTCTTTCGATGTAATAAACTGCGTTTCCAGGTTCATTTAAGGTAAGATACCAATATTAGAATTAAAACTTACATTTGAAAGCTGTGGATCACCATGTTACTAGGTCATTTTCGACCCTTTCCACCTGCATTGAAACATGTCACATAATCAGTGTCCTACCCTCTGTAATTTGTGGATATAATCAACACTATGTTACTAACTATGTATTTTATTTTATTAGTTTAACACTGTATTCTGTTTTAGTTTCTTTTCTGAACTTTCCACTGTAGTGGTTCAGCAAATATGTTTATTTTGTTTTCTGTCTGCTGAATGGCTAAGACTAGCCAGGTCAGTGTGATCTAGAGAAACCACCATGGTTCAGCATGTATCAAATTATTGTTTGTGTGAACTGACTTAACAAACCCATATATTTACATGGCCTTCATTTGACAGTGTCAGATCTGTTCTTCACAAATGTGTACAGCCTCATTGCAGTGCATATTTAAAAAGATGAAAAATAATTCACTTACATTTTGTGATACCAATTATGATACGCAAAGGTGAGATCCTTAGCTCCTGCAAATCAGTCTGTCCATGCTTGCCTGTGTAAGGTTCCTTGTGGGAAAATACTTCTTTCCTTAAGTCAGTGACTTAAGTGATTCCAAAATACCAATGATATAAGATGGTCCTAACTTCAAGTGGGAGTAGAAATATTTGAGTCCTCCTAAGTGTGTAATTTAATTTTTATTTAAGAACCTTATGCTTAAGGGCATAGGATCAGACTTCAGTAACTATACTCTTTGCCAAGAAAGCCAATGTATAAGGAGGTTTGTGTGTAGGTGCCGGGTTGTTTTGTTTTGTTTTCTGCTGGTATTTCTGTTAAGTTCAGATGCTTACATTCCAGTGTAAGGAAAGAGTACTTTGTTCATCTTCATAACTGGCTAGTTCTCAGCAATAAATTAATCTTAAATAAATAAGATCATATGATTAATTGCAAAAAAAGTGTCTTTAAAAATAACTTTGGGAGACAATGGGGTGGGCATAATTTCTGTGAAAGTGTGTGTAAGTGGTATCACAGTGTGAGCAGGCCAAAATATTTCTTGTAGTTTTATTACAGTAATAATATCTGACTCATTTTATTAAATGTCTTTCAACAATCTGCTGTGATTAAATCATGTAATTTATAGTACTCTCCTAACCACTTTGCAACAACTTTTTTTTTCTTTAATTTTAGCCTACTATCATGTATTTTGGGAGCCAATAACTCTCTAGT